CGGGCAGTGCCGCCGCGCAGCCCGGACGGCGGGGCAGGTACGTGCGGTCAGGCGCTAGCGGCGGCCGGGGGTCCCCCGCCAGCGGTTTTGTCAGGCTCGGGCAGTGCGGGGCGGCTGCCGGCTGTCTTCCCCCTCCAACCGCTCCCCTTCAGGGCGCCGTTCCCGCGCTTCCCCGGGGGCTGTGAGACTCCGAGGAGCCGCTCGTTGCAGCGGTCGGCCTCTCGTTGTTGCTGTCCTGCCTCTGCTTCCCTCTGCCGCCCGGTCTCCCCTCAGCTGGCGGCTGCAGCCTGAATAATCCCTTCGTTCCTCTGGCAGCCGTGCCAAGCGCGGCGTCAGCTTCGGTGTTTCTTCCCGGCAGCGCTCCTCGCCGCCTTTGACCGCTCTCCCTCAGGAGCCCGGTCTCGCCTGTTCTTGCCCTGCCATGACCCGTCCCTTCCCCAAATCCCAGCCGCGCGAGCAGATGTCCCTGCTTTCCTGCAGCCTTCCTCTGCCACCGACGGGATCTCCTTACATCGCCCCATTTGAGGAATACAGCCTCTGCGGATGCATCTCTAGATGTTTTGCTCTTCTGGTGTCATTGCTAAATTTCTCTTCTCTCACCGACTGCCATCTTCAATTTTTCCCTCATATGTCTTTTTCCCCCCACACCTTGACTCATCTCTACCCTACCTATAATCCCTCCTTTCTGGCTTCTACCCTCTAAATTTAGTTTTAATTCAGATTTTGATACTAGGCACCACCCCCCACCCCCATTAATATAATGGTTCCCATTTCATCTGCATTCTCCTGGCCCTTGACTACTTTCTCTGATGTTTTCTTCCAGCTTCAAAAAGGTAGACCTTTACAATCTTTTTAGATGCTTGTTCTCTCCATTCTTGTTGCACCATCCCAGATCTAATAATCTTATCGTCCCTTTAGCATTTGTGGGTTTTCTTTGAAAGTCTTCTGTAATAATTCAATGTCACTCCACCCCTCCATGATGGATCTTAATTGTCTGTTGTTGTCTTCTTTCAGGTTCTCCCTTCTACACCACACAAACTTCCCCTTGAATTCTCCTTCTGGTGGTGACTCACGGACCTACTCCTCTTTTGTGTCCTTCCCGGTAAGGACTACTATCTAACAATTAGATCGGGTTTATTATGGTACATCGAGCTTTTCCCACAGTCTTTCCCTTCTTTCTTGATTGTGGGGAGCTGACTACTGTCCTTTAAACAGAAGGTGATGGTCTAGGTGTTACATCTGAGCCTACTTATTTGAACTGTGTCCAAGTCTTGCCTCTGCCTTTTGCACAACAGCAGTTGTAGCCTGCCTTCTCAGTCTGTTTCAGGACTTTTTCAGTGGGTGTCTTAGGTCCTGGCACAGCCCCCTCCTGGATCTGGCAAAAGGTTCTGGAGGGGATCAGGATCATCTAAAATGATACTGCGAAAGCCATCTTCTTACTTTCTTTCTCTGACTAATTACTCCCTTTCTTGTGTTCATGGTGCACACTTCAAGTCTTGGGGTATGAGTCACTCCATCTGACAGTAGGCTTCTACCGCAGGCACCAAATCCAGCCTTTTACTTTCTCCTCCAGAGACAGAGGAGGGAGGGAGTCACCTGTGGAGATGGATAAGACCAACTGAGATGAGAATTACTGTACACAGGTAGCTGCCTTTCTCCCTTTCTCTACTGCATGCTACAGCAGTAATTTGGGGTAGCTAAACTTTGAGCTCAAAGACTTCAGTTAAGTGACTGCTATGACCTCCCAACTCTTTTTATTTCTTTTTTCCGCTGGGTTTTTTTTCTTTACGCAGACTAAGAAGCTGATGGTATAAGGGCAGTTCGGACTTTTGACAATCATAAAAGCTAGGATTTCTTTTTAAAATAGAAGCTAGAAGTATATATAAACAGCTAGCTCACATCATAGTCATTCCTAACAAAAGTTCTGTCAGGTCTGGGACTGTATTAGGTTTTTGACTTTTTCCTCCAAGGCGTGAGATCTGGATAAGTGGGACCCATTTTCTTTTTCTGCTGTGTGCAGCAAGCATGTGCCTAAGGAGTTAATGATTGCTGTGTCTGATTTATAGGTAGTATATAATCAGCTGTTTCTGCCCTGAGCTAATTGTTTGCCCTAGTAGCTGACTTTGCTGTTGCAAGGGTGACTGAAATACAGTTCATTTGTAAAGGGGTTCTTAAACTTATGTTCAAACAAAACTTTTTGTTACAGGCTCTGTGTGGGTACAGAGCCTGATACTGCAGAACTTGCTGCTGTTGTTCTCTATTTTGCTGCTAGCCTGTTCCCCTCTGGAAGGGAAAAATATGCCCAGAATCAATTGGAGATCACGTCACAGCTGAGGTTGAAAGTCCACCATAGCCAATGCTGAAAAAGTAAACATTAAGGTAGGGAAGACCTGAGGAGGCAGCTAATGTGCTCAGAAAAGCCCAGTTTTCTTTCAAAAACAAATTATGACTCCAGGCTTACAAAGGACAGATAAACCTCCTGACATGTCCCTTGAACTGTATTCAGCGTAGGATATGTTTTGCCTACACCCAGTTGTAAGCTTGAGGAGTAGCATAGGTAATGTTTTCAGCCAGCTATAGAGTTGACAGACACGTCTTTTTCCAAAGCACGTAAGAAAATTAACATTACTATTGAAGCTGTTAGTCTTTCCTTTGATGGCAGAGCTACAATTCTACTATTTTTTTAATGTATTCTTCAGTGAAATTGAAAAATAAGTAACATATTGAAAACAGCCTGCTTTAATTGTTAAACTATTATCCTTGTTGACAGATCAGTCTCTCCTACAGTGTAGTAAATTGTAATTTCTTACCTGAAGAAATCAGCACCAATTAGGAAATGGCCAAAGTCGAAAGGTTTGCTTTTCACGTTCCAAGTCTGGAGGAGCTTGCTGGGGGTAAGTCATGCATTGTGTAACTTTTTACAAACTTATAATGTACTCTTCAAACTTATCTTAAAGCTCTTATCAAAACCTTTCTACAGCTAGTACATGCAGAATGTTCCTGCTCTTAGCACACTGAGATGTAAAGAAAAGTGCTATTTTTCTATATGCTATTATTTCCTTAAAGCAAACAATGACTCCTCCCCCAAATCCCAATGACACTTAAGCACACAAACACACTCTCAAACTCTTTAAAACTGTCTGCTGCATTTGCATATTTGTGCATGGGTTGTGAAAGTTTGACCATTACAGACCAAACTTACTTAAATATATGGGATCATCTGTCCTCCTCTACCCTCTGCTATTTCTTTCTTTTTCAGGACTACTTAAAACACAGCTGAAAAGATGCACATGCACCTGCATGGCAGGTCCTCTTGCTTGAACCTAGTTTGCTCTTCTTTGGTGATTGCCTTACAACCAGGCTGCAGGAAACATTGTATTTAGTTTGTTTCTTTCCAAAGCCTTCAGAAAATGTGCTCAGAATAACAGAATGGTTGAGGTTGGAAGGGACCTCTAGAGGTGATTTGGTCCAATCCATTTGTTCATGAGCTTCTTTCCTTGCCTCAGTAGAAAGGCATTATTCCTTCTGGTAGTCTGTCTCCTGCAGCAGATGAACTAAAGGGTTTTTTTCTTTCAGAGAGGTCTTCAAGTTCAGTCTGCCACTGTCCCAAATCTGTGTGAGTTTGATATTTCCATGCTTTCAGAAGTGTGGTCCCAGCAGTGGTTCTCAGTACTTTCCTCACCCTGTAGCTGTCAGGCTGGGGCAGTAGGTCAGGGCTGCTATAGACCTGTGGGATCTGCAGAGAACAGCATGTACTTGCAGTAGAACAGCTTAAAACAGTAGCAGAAAAGATGGGTCATGAAGCAGAATTTTCCTTTTTTTTTTTTGCCCTGTCTGTCCTGAGGACCTCCTGTCAGTTGTGAATTTTGTTGCTGTTCAGCTCTTGAGTATAATTTGAGGAGTGCCCTTTTCTTGTCTTTTTCCACTTATCAGAAGATGCTGAGATGTATTTAGAAACCTGTCAAGTACCTTCTACTGACCCTTGTGGTCAACAGCTTGGTAAATCTGCTCCCAAGAAGTAAGGTACAGCTGAAATCCTGATTGGAGGAAACAAAGGCACAGGAAAGCCTTCTGAGTAAATAAAGAAATGCCTGATTTGAGATCACAGACTAGATTTTCTGTTCCTTAGTTTGAGACACCTGCCAAAGCAGACCCTCAGGCACGAAAGAACTTGGACCTTTTAACACAGTATTTGAAGCAGTGTATGTGAAGGCAATCCCACACTTCAAGGTTTGGAAGTTGTTTCCAAACAGTGCACTTGTCTAAGTCAGAATCCTTCCTGTTGTTTCAGTGACTTTGCAGGTTCGGAGCCTAAAAACATCGATATGAAGCAAAACCAAAAGTTTAGATATCAGCACCATATCATTATCCAAGTGACAGTGGCACTTGCCAGAAAATCTCCACATGAACGTAAAC